TCTGGCCTCTTGCTGGACGTTTCTCACTACACTCATTTTTATCTTCACATGAAAATCCCTCATATTCCCCAAATTCCCCAAATTCCCCAATTGCATGTCACGGCTCCGTTCAAAAGTTCACCGCATTAGCGCTCAGGATTGTCTTTGGATCAAGATGAATGAGAGCATTTACGTTTTCTCTCACAAAGTTTCTTGCTTATGTAGTAGAATATAACAATTGTAGGCTATTCATTAAGAAGGAAGTGTGACGAGAGTCAAAACTGTGTCCTGCGTGCCATGCACCCAATCGCATTTCCATCTAAAGTCCATACACGAGTCTCATCAAATACGCCAAGCATATCGGAATATTCTCCGACCTTGACGTAAGTTTATCAGCCAGTAAAAAGCTCGACGAAAAGAGACCGGATTGAGGGATCGAATGTATATCGTCCCTTCGCGCACAGATGCTAGAAACCGGCCCCACTCCGCTGGTAGATTGACCACTACGTAGTAGCTATTCTGTAGACAGCGGACTATCAACCGTCTCTTTGTCTTGGCTGACGGGCAGGGAAACTAGAGAGCGAGAACAAGAAAGAACAAAGTTACATGACAGATATAAGCCTAGCGTCCAAGTCCTGGGCGATGACTAAATCAAATCTCGTGTTGGCAGCAACTTCTCACAATCATCTAAGGAATTAAAAAGCGTCTTTCATGTCAAGGGTCTGCTTGAGAGACTGCCTCAGAGGTAGTTTATACAGCTTGATGGACACATGCTTGGGTCTGGATAATTACCCCACACTTCGGCTCTTAAGCTTTAGGCTTAAGCTCTGCCCCAGGATATCGCGGCACCAGAAAGCGGGGAAGGACACCCGCAATCAAGGATGGCATAATTCGCCAAGAATAGCATGAGAGGGGTCCTACCACTGGAGATTGGGATCGTGCGATGGCTATTGCGTAGCAACTATAATAATAAGTGGCAATATTGGGAGAAGATCTTCCGTTGATGTAGGGTTATAAAGCTTGCATCCCCCGTGGTTTTTCTTGGACAAATTATACACTGAAAACTACCAGAATACCTAACTTTATTAATACTTTTAAATTAATAAAATTTTTATATCATGAGGAATCAAATGGATGCTGGGTGGTTTTATTCCCCCGCGCAGATCGTTCGTTACTTTTCTACGCGGGTGACGAGTCTTAAACCTCCCAAGGTTAGTATTTCTTTGAGATTGTTAGATATGTCAACCCGCTAAGAAGAATATTGGATAGAACAAACTGCGAAACCCATACGCGATTCTTAAAGAGCTCACATCACATCAATGGCTTATGTTTGCTGCGGGGTTTCTAGGCTGGACATGGGATTCTTTCGATTTTTTTACCGTGTCAATGACAATAACCGAATTGTCGGAAGCGTTTGGTGTATCTTACTCTGACGTTTCGTGGGTACGAGTCAAACCAACCTACTATTTTGGGCTCCCGTTTGCGAAAACTAATATTTCATTCAGGGTATGACCGTAACGCTCATGCTTCGCTCGATCGGTGCCATCATTTTCGGGCTGCTCGCTGATAAATACGGACGGAAATGGCCGATGATCATCAACCTATTCTTTTTCATCATTCTCGAACTTTGCTCTGGGTTCTGCAATACATTGCCACAATTCCTGGGCGTTCGAGCATTGTATGGAATAGCGATGGGGGGTAAGAGATACCTGCACCCTTAACCATTTGCCGCTCCAACGAAACTGACAAATACACCAGGGCTCTTTGGACCAGCCGCCGCTACTGCCCTCGAAGACCTCCCGTACGAAGCACGCGGTCTTCTCTCCGGACTATTCGAAATGGGATATGCAACAGGATATCTCCTCGCCGCTGCTTTCTATAGAGCTCTTGTTCCCACAACCTCGCATGGATGGAGAAGCTTGTTCTGGTTTGGAGCCGGTCCCCCTATCCTGATCATCATATTCCGGTGGTATTTGCCAGAAACAAACCATTTCCAAGTGATGAAGGCCGAACGTGAAGCTCGGGCAAACGCAGTGGCAGAGGATGGAGACACAAAAGGCAAAGACTTTCGAGTGTTTTTGCGTGATGCTGGACGTGCACTCCGAGATAATTGGGTACTCTTTGTTTATCTGATCGTCTTGATGACGGGCTTCAATTCATGCTCGCATGGAAGCCAGGACTTTTACCCGACGTTCCTCAAAGATCAAGTCGGGATGGACGCAACACAGACAACAGTTATCACCGTCGTTGGCCAAATCGGTGCGCTAATTGGAGGATGCTCGATTGGCTATATTAGTACATTCTTTGGTCGGCGGTTAACCATGATGGTATCCTGCGTGGTTGGCGGGGCAGTTATCCCAGCTTACATTTTACCACGCGATATGTCCCTTGTCGCCAGTGCCTTTTTCGAGCAGATTTTCGTCGGTGGAGTCTGGGGACCCATGCCCATTCATCTCCTGGAGCTATCGCCGATCGCGCTTCGCTCCCTGATGGTTGGACTGACTTATCAACTTGGTAACCTGGGATCCTCGGCCTCGGCCACGATACAATCTATCATTGGCGAGAGGTACCCGCTTCCTGCTGGACCTGATGGGAAGAAGCGCTTCGATTATGGTAAAGTGATTGCAATTTTCATGGGAGCCGTGTGGGCATTTATTCTCTTCTTCCTTTTCTGGGGTCCCGAAATGTCACAAGAAGAGCGCGAAGAGGAGGCCCAGGCTTCACTGCGGTTGGAGGAACTTCGGGCTTCGGGTGTTAGCTTGGCAGAGATTGGAGAAGCGCAGTTCCGAGGGAAGGATATTGATCGAACTAGTACGTATGATGAGGAGAAGGCAGTAGCCGGCCATGTTGAGTGAAGAGATTGTGCCGAGTTAGGTATCTTTGACATTTGCATTGAATAAGGTTGTATCAATCGGTTTAGCCAATTTTGAGATGAAGCGAGTGATTTTGATTCATACCTACCAATATCGGCTTACATATCATCCGTTTTAACTTGAAGTTGCTTTGATTGAGCCTGGTTGGAGATGTGATTTAAGGGTCCCAAAGTATCCCTGTGTACCCAACATGAAAGCTGGCATCCATCCTGGCTACGGTCAGTTTAATGGTAGTTAATTGAAAGGCACGAGCCAAGTTATTCAAAATCTCACCATTCCAAACTGGTTCAGGTATAATTCGATGTCTACTTGGCTATACCTTAAAATCAGCAATCTCGATAGTCAACTGCTTATGGCTTACATGCTACTAGCTGAGCAGCTGGAAAATCCCAATTCGTCTGGAATTGAACTGCTTAAGGTTGAAATTACATAGGGACTCCCTGTATGAGTAGAAACGCTACCGAGCACACTCAGCCGAACTATTTGGGGTAAGTTGAAGTTGAAGTTGACCCCCCCACGGTTCGTTACTAACTCAAGGTTCCTCTTGTAGTCAAAGCCCCACAGTCCGATCGTCACCGGCGAGCCAACTTGGTCCTCGGGTTGTACGGACCCGGAGTTATTCGAGTTGATGATTGATGAGTACTCCTCTCACCTCTTCTCTTCTACCTTCTACACATCTCGCACTCCCTTCACGCGACCCTTCTGCCTCGCCCACACGCCCGTCATGACCGAGTCAAACCCCGCGTCCGACGTACCCCGCTATTTGACCGGCGACAAGGCCGGTCTCCGCGAATTCTTGGACAAATTTGATGTGAGTCTGTGGCGCTACCTGCTAGCTATATACCCAATAAGATGGGATCAATTGACTGACTCTATCTTCCAATCTAGGTCTTCCTGTTCGACTGCGACGGTTCGTTGCCCCATCCCCGCATCCCTCGAGTTCGGCTTTCCCCCCCGCCTTTGCGACTCCCAGGAATCACTATGTATGCGACAATGGCTGAGATCTATTTGATCATTTAGGTGTGCTTTGGTCCGGTGATCACTGCTTCCCCGGCACCGTCGAAACCCTCGAGCTCCTGCGCAAGAATGGTACGCGAATAACCCAGATCAAAATCACAACCACAACCACAAACGAGAAAGATGATGCTGACGCCCAGCACAGGCAAACAAGTCGTCTTCGTAACGAATAACAGCACAAAGTCTCGCGCAGACTACTGCAAGAAACTCGAGGGGCTTGGTATCCCCAGCACAGTGGTAAGTCCCCGACCCCTTTCCCCAAGCGGAGATCGCAAATACCACACACCAGTCTAGCAATGAATGACTCACAACATGTACAGGAAGAGGTCTTTTCCTCCTCATACAGCTCCTCCATCTACATTTCACGCATCCTCCAACTCCCTCCGAACAAGCGCAAAGTCTACGTGATCGGCGAAACCGGCATCGAGCAAGAACTGCGCTCCGAGAACGTCCCCTTCATCGGCGGCACTGACCCCGCCTACCGCCGTGATGTCAAGCCAGAAGACTACAAGCTCATCGCAGCGGGCGATCCTTCCATCCTAGACCCAGAAGTCGGCGTCGTTCTTGTCGGTCTGGATTTCCACCTCAATTACCTCAAGCTGGCCCTTGCGTACCACTACGTCAAGCGCGGGGCCGTGTTCCTCGCCACAAATATCGATTCTACGTTGCCCAACTCTGGCACTCTTTTCCCGGGTGCGGGATCCATGAGTGCGCCGCTGATTATGATGTTGGGTCAGGAGCCGACGGCGCTGGGTAAGCCTGCTCAGGCTATGATGGATGCTATCGAGGGCAAGTTTAAATTTGATCGGTCTCGAGCTTGCATGGTTGGTGACCGTGCCAATACTGATATTCGGTTCGGAAGGGAGGGTAAGCTTGGCGGTACGCTTGGTGTGTTGACTGGTGTTAGCTCCAAGGAAGATTTTGTCTCTGGACCTGTGCGTCCGCATGCTTACTTGGATAAACTCTCGGATCTGCTGGGGTCGGATCTGTGAGGGATCATGGTTGCATTTTATATAGACGACGTGATGATAGATGGAAGTTTTATATAGAGGCTTAGTTGCTTCATGGTTATATGCATTTGATAGTACACAGATAAGTGACAAATACACCATTTCTCCGCTGGCACATTTCTCAGAACTTGCACACTTCCTCGTGGATGGAGACCGGATTCTCGAGAGGAATCAAATGCTTCGCCCCTTTGACCGTCTTTAAAGTCACCTCCACTTTGTTCCTGGTAAGAAAATTGACAACTTCAGCCTCGACTCGCTCCTTTGGCTCGACAACGTCGAATTCTCCCACTATTACACTCGCCCGGAGATCATGGTAAGCACTTAAGGCCTGCGCCGCTTGCTGAGAAACATCCTCTTGCATCCCATACATCGGCCAAGCTTTCTTCGCCAATGAGTTACCGCCCAGACTATCCTGGACTATAAGAGAAGTATCGGAATCGGTCAGATTCTCAGAGTTCGCCAGGACATTTGCAATAGTCCACCGAATAGCCTCTTCAGATTCATATGCAACCTGTTGCTGGGCCTTCATATCGGCAGGGAGATCTAAGGCTGTAGGCGGCGCGGGTGCGACAAGAATAAGACCTTTCAAAAGAGCCTGTGTATCGTGGGATAGAAGAGACAAGGATGCGAGTGCGATCTTCGCGCCCATTGAGTGGCCCACTAAGACGAAGCCATGTTGGAAACGGTCTTCATGATTGGATTCTGTCTTCATTTGAGACAGAATAGTAGCGATATCGCTTGCCATCGCTGTAATAGAATACTCATTCTCGTGAACGCCGGCTGGTCCGGTCGATTTACCCCAACCTCGGAGATCGATGGCAAGTGTCGGGTATAACGCCGCCATTGAGGTTGGTGTGTCAGGTGTGGTGAGCTTGTGCCATGTTGAAGAGCTGCCACCCCAGTAGTGAAGAAAGACAATTAAAGGCTTTTGGCTGTTCGCCTCCGTCGGGAGGGTAAGCCGGGCATGAATGGAGATGGCAGGCGTGGTTTGGAAGTATAAGGAGGACATGGCGGTCTTGAAGGGGACGTAATGCTGGGTGGATTTGAATGATATTATTTGTTTTAAGGCTGAAAATGAAATGGTGATAATCAAGGGCGAAAGGAGGAGGTTGGCGTCTTCCTTTTATGATTGTGCTGAGGACAGGCTTCAGCCACTTAAAATGGGTGGTCTCACTTTCTATAGACAGGCGCTAATTGATTCCAGTCTGTGGAGGCGAAGGAGTGTTCAAATATAGTTTAACGCAGCACTGAATGATTCCAAACTGCGGGGCCAGCCTGGGGGCCAAGTGTGGTTGATAAACCAATAGAACTCCGGTGGCACAGTCTGGCTCCATCGCATACATTGCACACCGACACTAATCAAGTTCGAGAATGAGTACATCATTACATGAGGCATGGGGCTTGAGATATGTTGGGATATCTTTAAGGTGGTGTAAGCTTGTTTCATACAAGGGCATGTTCACTAAGATATTATGCTATACAAATTATAATCCTGGCCATTCCAAGATATGGATTAGGAATTCTCAGCGAGATAGCGCTGCAATTTCCACAAATACAGCATCAAACTCATGTCCTCATGGCCACCGTTGGGTCTGAAAAATAGAGCCTCGCTTTCCAAATGCGCACTTGAACTTGTGCGTAAAGTCTCAAGCTCATTCTCGGAAAGAAGTACCGACAAGTCAAAAACGGGGATCGTTGTTTGGGTTCGAGGATGGATGACAGTCATCGAGGCAGGGCCCGACTCAGCCTCATGCTCGGGTTTCGCAGCAAAAAGGAGGATTGCACCGCATGCCTCATGTTCCAGCGGCTCCATGCCGCCAAGTGCGGTCTCGAGAGCGGAATCCGAATATTCGTCTATATCCAAAGATTCCCAGGCGATGTCCCTGTCCGCTTCAAGTTTCTCACTAATATTAACAAGTCTCTTGACAATATCCTTCCTCATCAGTCGCAGGAGATAATCCGGCATATCGGCTCTCCACACACAATCCCTCAAATCATTGGCACCGAGAGGACCAACTGGAATTTTCCACCGGTATGGAATCAACTTCGCAATGCCAGGCCTCTTCCCCAACCTGGATGCGAGATGAGGCGTCGCTGCCTGAATAAGAGGACGGAGAGTAACCATGTGAAGAGAAGGGCTGAATGTCCTACCCCGAGGTATCGAGGGAGAAACACCCCGGCCAGGCGCCACCTTGGCATCTGCACTGGTGGAGGATTCCGACGTCAACGACTCGTCTTCACTTTCGGCCGACCGTTTTTGAATCGAGTCTTTGAGTAAATCCAACGGTAAAAGATAATTATGATTTGTATCCGGTCGTTTTATCAGTCCATAAATACCCATCAAACGACGTGGTAATCGTGTTCCCGTCGTGACGCAGAAGCGCACCGGCGACGCAAGCGCAGCGGCCCATGGGTTCCTCTTGAGTTCGGCATTATCCTCGGGTTCTGGACGCGGTTTGTAGATTTTCTTGAAACCGGAGCGGGGGTGTGTGATCACGGGAGATTGTGGTAGGCGTTTTGAGGGAGGGATGTAGTCTTTGGTTGAGCTGCTGGGCGATGGTGGAGTCGGGGATGGAGCTTCATCATGAGCTTGTCTGAGCTGCGCGTATGAGGTTGAGATGGAACGGTTGAGAAATCGTGGTCCTGTATTTGAGATGTATAGCTGGCGGAATATACGCAGGCGCAAAGTCGCATGCGAAAGCCTGTGACTGGCGCACTCCATCATGATGGTAATGGTGATTGATGGTGATGCTGAGAAGAAGAAGGTTGGAGTCGCGGCAAGGTGTTTTCTCTTCCGAGGCCCACCAATCAGCGGGCCCCGTTTGCGGGGAACTCGGATCGGCCAACCTTTTTTTGTTTCCCCCCCCCTGCTGATCTTTGAGATATTGCATAAAATCAACTAAATCGACTACCCTACTAGAGACAGCGCTTTGATGTAATTGGCGTAGAGAGGTTATCAGCTTTTCAAGTTTTGACTTATGCTACTCCTGCTCCATAATGTTGAATAGTCTGTGCAAAGACCTTCAAATTACTATCAACTAGTACACTCTCATCCCTACTGGCAAATAGGGCTCGTAGTAGGCTTCTTAACCTGTTCAATTGGATTTTTCTGAGAGCAACCAGACGTAACACCAAACATTGTATCGTCTATGGCGGCATCATAGGCTGCACCACAGTTGGGGTCACTGCGAAAGCGCCAGGCAATCAGCAAACATTCATAACACTCAACATATATTTTGTGGGTAATTCTGTCCTCACCTTGATGCCCCACTGGCATTCTCAAAGTAGGAGCAGATGTCATGCGAAAAGCAGTCCTGTGTATATGCATTTCCAACTGCAGCCCCATTGCATCCTGCACCGCAGCGGCCATTACAAGAGTAGCTGTCGGTAGAATTATTGTTAGCTACTTCTATTGAAGCTGGTCTTGACGCTTCAATTTTACGCTTTCAATGTGGTTTTGCTCCGTTAAAGACGGAGGGAAATACATACTCTCCCTCATTAACAATGTTTATGCCGTAGTTGCTGCCAACCAGTCCAGTAAACGAGCATGTCTGGCCGACACTGTTTGTCCAAGTTGCCACAGCAGTGGTACCGACCTTGAGACAGACAACGGATCGTTTGCTCATTTCGGGGAATTCTTTCTGTCCGGGTTCTGCTAGTGCCGTCGCATATAAGTGTGGCAGAATGCCTAGCAAGATCGCAGCCGCACGAAGCCCAAACATCACTCTGGTGTCAATTTCAAAGATGGGTGAAGATGGAGTTGGACTGAAGGCCCGTATTTATCGCGTCCGAGCTTGCTTCAGAGATTTTCATTCCATGAGCGGGGTTCCCTCCTAATGTGATTCACTAACCTGTTTAAAGATAGCAGCGAAGAGATAAATTCTCCGGGGTGGAAATGAACTAAATATACATCCGGCGGTTAATAAGGTTGAGTTAGATCTAGTGTTATATAGCCTTAGAAAAGCCCCGGTATACCTAGGCATTTAATGTAATATTAATGTCATTATCGTCATCATGACATTTTCTTGCTCCATGGCCTCCATTGGGTATAAGCTTTCCGGGTCTATTTGTTGAACTATTATGACGGTAACTGGATTTGAATATCAGCTCGGCAAAGATCCTTGTTAAGGCAGGCATTCCGGTGTATCTTAAATTGAACAGGCGCTGAATATCCTCCTATGGTATAGCCTGGGCATTGAATTCGAATATGTTGTTGCGTGTTTTTTTATCATTGAAGCTCCAGGAAATAAGAACCATCCGGCTTCCATTGGCCTAACCAGAACCTGATAATGCTGCACATAACATATCACCGCGAATAATCATGCGGACGTATTCCTCCTCATCTCTATCCAAACTTTCCCCGCGCGATAAACTGATCTAGATTCTACGCCTTTCGATTTTACATCGTGTAGCACCTATTCGGCGTGATCTATATCCGCAGAGTTCGCCAGGCGTCCCTTTGGAACCCACGCGTCGGCAGGTGTGGCAAACCATGACACAATTGCGAAGATTGTCACAATTCCCAAAATTATGGGCGCATCTGTACCACAATGTTAGCACCTCCAGCATATTTCCGAGTTTGAGAAAAAATACTTACAATTCAAAGTAGACGCCTCCACGGGAAATGAGTACGGCGAGAAGAGAACAGCAACCACCCAGCCATTCCAAAAAACAGAGATGACTTGGAAAGGCTTACTCAATCGCCCAAGTGACCATTTCGCGTCAAGTGGCTCATTTGGAGTCAAAAATAATCGACCCAGGCTAATCAGCCCGTAAGCTGCGGCAGATGGAACACCTGCTGCCGACACCAAGGAGGTGAACGCGACGGCAGAAGGCAAAATGGTGCAAGTAATGACAGCAGCGACACCCCAGACTACAAAAACGGCGTTTTTAGGTTGGCCTTCTGCTGACACTCGAGATACCCATCCAGATGCAGGGAGAACACCGTCGCGGGCAACAGCGAAGACCAGTCGAGAGGCGGCAGTAACTGCGATCGCCGTATTCTACCTCATAATTAGCATGCCATACATATAATGGGAACTCATGTTAACAAGAGTTGGTAGTTTCTCACAAGCCACAGTGCGACGACCGAAAGGACATTCATAACAATATGTCCCCCGCGGCCGAGAACCGCGGCATACAAGGGGACAAAAGGCTGGGGCGCATCGTAGGAAAAGAGAACGTCAATCGGAGGCTAGATTTTGAATTAGCAGGTATGATAGGCAACTAGCAATATCATTGCCTCTGACTCACAGAAGTAAACAAGAACAGTATCACTGCACTGAATCCAAGCACACCACTAACTACCGTACTCCAAAAGATACCCTTCGCCGCATTGACGGACGCATTTTTTGTTTCTTCTGCAACGTGACCGGAAGCATCGAATCCAATCAAAATACCTGCCGTTGCAAGATATGAAAGGCACCAGTTCCAACCAGCCGGTGCTCCGGTGCCGTTGTAGGTTGTCATAAATGCTTCATGTGCAGTTCTCAGGCCGTAAGTGTTATGCGCCCCAACAGGAAGCCATATAACATTCAGAATAAAATCCAGAAAAACGGCACCGGTAGAAAACCAGAATATATACTTAAAGACTCGTGCTAATATTGTTTTAGTTAGTAGCTGTTACTTGAAATGTATGACTTTGACTGGGAGCGTACGGGAGGCAAGGTTCATTAATGCCGCCAAAGCAAGGAGTACCTCGGTACATATCCATTGGACTGCGCGAAACTTGACGCTGGATGAGTCGGTCGGGAAATCAACATTGAAAACACTTAGTTCCTATTTCTGGTCAGAAAAGGCTCAATGATTGATTTCGGAGGTTTTACCGAAAGCATATAGTTCACGGCCGATTGGGTGTTGCCTATGTGAAAATGTGAATATCTTGTCTTCATAATACAGAACCTTCAATCACATACTGGCACAGAATGTCGTCCAGGCTGTCGTGCTCCACCAAGCAACGACGAAGCCAAAAAAGCGTCCGAATCTTTTACCGCCAGCTTCTGCGGCCCAGAGATAAATTGAACCAGAGGTTGGGGAAGCCGAGCATGCTTCAGCAATGACAGCTGCAGTGATGAATGTGAATACACAAGTCACAATGTAACTTGTCCTATAGAGTTATTAAAATTATTGAAAGTTGAATGTATCTTGAGCAGGATTGTCGAAAATTACCAGTAGGCTAGAGGACCTCCGGCTGCGATCCCAGTGGAAAATGTCACTCGCACCCCGCCAACGAAATATAGAGCAGCTAGTAGTATTGTTAGTGATATGAAAGGATTAGGCCAGAAGTAAAAGCCCTTATACCAAATGAGGTCGAAAAATTCTCAAATAAGGAATAGCTGCGATGAAGTACCTAGACCAACCTAGTCGTTAGGACCGAGTTCACCGCAAGTCATTTTGAGATGTAGATTTTCAACGAACTTGTTTATACCCTAGGCGCTCCTGCAAGTAATTGGGTAGACTGGTTAGATCATTCACAAAGATCAGTTGATTTGAACTTCCTCACCAAAGTAGACTCGTCGTTGTTATTATCCTCCAAAGAGGAAGATACTTCAGGTTCTTTGACATCCGCCATGGCCTACCAACACAGATATCTAACTGGATCCAAGACAAAATTCTCAGGAAACTAAAACGGCCCCGGGGAAATCGTTGAGCTAATAAGCAATTCGAACGCTTCCAGAAGAAGTACTACTGTCCGTCCACGGGTCCCGCGGACACCTCGAGAAAGAGAAAAGAGTCAAACTTACCGTGACGAAATAAGCGCCTAGATGGTGCAACGTGCTACTATACTAGTTTAAGGTAGTTTTCGCTTGGAATTCCTGATTTGTGGTTTAGTGTCTGCGAAGGTTTCGCTTGTGTGGTGAAGTATTATGCCACTTCCCGACGGGGTTGCGTTATTATGGCAAAAATTACCTGATAGCTAAACAAACTTCTCTCCGGCCAAGCCTATCAGATTAAATAGCATTAGGTAGGTACAAGCGATGGGGAGCCTCTGGAAGCATTTAAAATAGGGGATTTAACTCGATCTTTCATTGCGTGTGTGAATTATCACAAAATGTTGGCATTTTGGGCCTGGAGTACACTCCTTGTTGCCTGCTCCGTATTCATCAAGGTAAGGAAAACTGGATTTCCAGTCATAGCCCTTGCTGATAGAAATAGGGCATTTATGAATACTTTTTTTCGTCATTGTCGCATATACCTAATGCTGGTCTGCTGGCTCCAATTTCACGGTTTCTGTGGGAGTTCCCGCTAGAATACCGTGGGAGGCTGACATTGGAACTCCCGAAACTCCACAAAAGGCTCGGTAAGTATGATACGAACATTGGAACATCATGATCATGATATTAAAGTTAAGATTTCTATGCAGGACCTTTGGTGCGAATTGGTCCGAATGAATTATCATTTTACTCTCTAGATATCTATAAGAAAGTCCACGCACCGGGTAGTGCTTTTGCCAAGGACAATCGAGTCTATGGCCAATTCGTACAAGATGGGCACCCAGCGCTGTTCTCGATTACGTGGGTATCAAAATATAGTTTTTTTTACAATGCATTCTGACTCTATTATCATAGTGATCCCAAAGAACACGCACAGAGGCGTAGACATATGGGTGTGCTTTTCAACCGCAGTCGGGTTCCAGCTTTGATTCCGATGATGCTAGATCAGATCTCCAATTTCGAGAGCCTGCTCTCAGGTCTGATTCATGAAGGGCCCATCGACCTTGTACCTACCTGCCGGGCTCTCGAGGCTGATATTGTGTGTGAGTAATTCAATTTCTTGAGCTATGATGGTTAGCTGATCTGGAAACTTCAAGCGAGATTCGCATTTGGAAGCGCCATCGGAGCAATAGATTCATTGAAGTCAGGAATAGAGTTAAATATCATCAAGGAAAATGACTTGAAGTCATCAAAAATGCCGCTTGTATGTATACCAGCTGATGAAGTGATAAGAGTACATGCTGATTTTTCTATTCCGCCTTTGCCACTCTAGTATACCAAATTTCCTTTCGTAATGCATTTATACTATTTATTATCTGACAAAATCTATGATATCACTGGAATTGACATATCTTTGGTTGCAACGAACAGATGGTTTGAAGAGGTAAGTCTATTGATCTCGCTACTAGTACCTACTGTATACTTCCGGTTGTTGAGACGTCTTCCAGTGGGCAGAAAATCAGTTAAAAGGATCACTTGACTTCGAAAAGGGGACAGGAACCTCATTCCTCGCAGCAATGGCCGGGTCGAGGCTTTCAACACAGTCTGCCTTGTCTGAGGCTAAAGAGATGCTGGGTCCTGGAACGGATACCACTTCCGCTACGCTTGCACATATCCTTTGGGCTCTTTCCCTCAGTAAAGATCTACAAGATGGGCTTATTTCGGAACTAGAAATAGCCAACTGGCCCACAGATATGGCGGCACTCGAGTCTCTTCCGCTGTTGGTTGCATGTGTCAGAGAGGGGGGTCAGATGGACTGGAGCCGCTGCTGCCATGCTACCTAGGATTGTTCCAAAAGGAGGCTCTCTACTGGATGGGAAACATGTAGCAGAAGGAGTAAGACTTTTCAAAGGAGACCTAAGTCTAGGCCTCCGAGCTAACCGACGACAGGTCATGATCTCTAGCTCGCCGATCTGGTATCTACACGACGAGACCGCCTTTCCAGAACCACAAAAATATCGGCCAAGTCGCTGGCTGTCGAATGAAGAGGATAACGCCACTTCTCGGAGGAACGAATACTACATACCTTTTTCAAAGGGCCCTAGCACATGTGTCGGAGTCCAGTGAGTACTAGATCCTTATTTCCCCCTTTCCAAGCAATTGAATTCCAAGCTAACAAAAGTTGTACAACCTAGCTTTGCACACCTGGAGCTCTTTCTTTCAGTTACCCAGATACTAAAGGTTTATTACATCAAGCCATATGGCATTTCCTTTTTAGACGCTAGCGTTGAAGCGGAATTACCTCTACGGAGAGAATGGGTTGCTGCTGTGCCTACCGCCCCCCCTGCAGGTTTTTCTCCAGTCGCGGGCATGAGATAGTATCTTAAGACTTGGAAAGAAAGGGATGCTTTAATTGTTTTTTCACGTAGGCTTAGCCTGAAATACATTGCAAATACATCGGAGTCTCCTGATATCGCACCACAATTTGAGGATCTCTTTCGCTGTGGCTGTGTTTTGTCCATCCCAGGACCTTACGAGAATAGGACAAAAAAGCTCACAAGGGCGGTCGTGAGACCTCGACTATGTAGGCTCTTTAACCGGACCAAACCGAGTGACTTGCTGGCGGGCTTTCTGGACTGATTCGTTCCTCCTAAGCCATAGCATCTGTAACGACACAGCGATTGTTATCATTACAGATCTCCGGGGTCTTGCATTTGCGTGTAGGGCTTATCAAGGGTGATCTTGGTCTCTCCCATTCTGGTTCCATGGAGAGTAGCAGCCCGCAATGGGCTCACTGCTGGCGTATGGATCTGCAAACGCCCCCCCACAACACTCACTAAGTATAGGCCGACATGGTTGAAAAGAAAAGCGGTTCTGGCACCCAACCTAGAAGTCATTGGTGGTCAAGATCACCTGGCTTGCGACGATTTGCTAGAAGTTCTCCACGTCCTTTGGCTTTCAAGTCACAGAGATCGTTCGACATGATGACGGATGAGTACTGCAACACCCAGTCTCCGTTTCCGTTTATGACCTGGCGCACGAAGATGGTTTCGTTGTAGTTTGTCCGAACTCCGTATTTGAAGGCACTTGTTAGACAGAGGCAATATAAGTCTGCCGATGGCCCATTGGGAAAGTTCTTCTGTTTACCTAGATTTTTGATCTCGTCAGTACTTGGCTCTCGGGCTTTGAGATTGGGTATGTCAGGATCAGGATACTTGAAAATAAGTACGGCTCATTTGCCGTCGGGTGCTTTGCTAGAGCGAGTGAAGTAGTAGACATGACGTTTGTTGCAGATTGAGAATAATTAGAAGATAAAAGTATCTCACTATAACGGGTAGAGTAGAGTGGAGAGGAGAAGGTTGAGGAGAGCTACGAAATGGAAGGGGGATGTCTTATTTACCACTAGTAATAGTAATAGTACTAGTAGTGGTAATGTTTGCACTTGCTGTTTATTTGGAAAGATCAACAAAGAGCCTTTTGGGGAAAGTGCAAACTGCTTGTATCCATAACGTGTTGAACAATCGGCAGGAGCGACCTGAGTAGATCCTAGGATGACGCATGATGTTAAAGCGCTGGCGCAAAGGCATTCTGATCAGAGCAAAAGTAGAATTGCTTTTTTTTCCTGTTTTTATATGCAATCGGGGGCTTGAAGATGAATAAAGAAAGGATAGAGAAATTGTGTAATTGGGAGTCTAAACAGACTGCTCAAGAAAATTGCCCCGGTACTAGTTAACATAGTTAGCTACCCCAATAGGGTTAGGGTCCCCGCTATCTTATCGCAGCTCCGCACCGCCCTCCGAGGCTGCCTTTCCCTGCCCTTTGCATCTCCATCTCCAACTCCAGCTCCGACCCCAACCCCAAACGCACCACCTACCCTCAATACCCCTGCGTCTGCGGTCCTAACAATGCGCCCGACAACTTCACTTCAGCGTCTGGCACGCTCCATTCCCCGCGCCTCTATTCCATCCTTCCGGCCAGCCACTGCCTCTCGATGCTTTTCAATCTCCGCTCCCTCCTTCGACCGCACACCTCCGCGGGGCTGGACACCGACGCCATTCGTGACTGAGACTGTTGTACGTTGATTCCTCGGATCGCCCACCCGCCCGCATAACAACCTCACTAACTTCATGAACAGGGAGGTGGCTGGCACACATGTATGTACCGCAATGCGCATTGCTCAAGGTCGCGCGACTAACCGCTTCACTCTATTCAGACGACATCTTTTCCAGGTTGCTCAAGGTATGAAAAACATACACCATGCACGCTGGGGGTACACAAGTGACTAACAAAACTAGGAACGTATCATCTGTTTGAACGGCGAAGTCGACGAATCCATGTCCGCCTCCATCGTCGCCCAACTCCTCTTCCTGGAAGCCGACAACCCCCAGAAACCCATCCACCTATACATCAACTCGCCCGGTGGTTCAGTAACAGCAGGTTAGTAGCCACCCTCCTCACCTCTCCTGCCTCGACCACGCTTTCATCCCAACCAATCCCAGTATCCAACCCGCCCACTAACCAACCTTGCACCACCACAGGACTCGCAATCTACGACACAATGACCTACATCGCCTCACCAGTAAGCACAATCTGCGTCGGCCAAGCCGCCTCAATGGGCTCGCTCCTCCTCTGCGGCGGCCACCCTGGAAAAAGATACTGTCTCCCACACAGCTCGATAATGATCCATCAACCGTCAGGAGGGTATTTCGGACAAGCGACCGACATCGCGATCCATGCGAAGGAAATCTTGCGCGTGCGCGAACAGCTTAATCAGATTTATCAGCGTCATCTTACGGGGAAAAACAAGCTTAGTCTGGATGAGATTGAGAAGCTTATGGAAAGAGATTATTTTATGGGGGCGCCTGAGGCGTTGGAGCGTGGGATTGTGGATGAGATTCTTGATCGGAGGGTCAAGATTGATGGGGAGGGAGGGGGAGAGGGAGAGAAGAAGGAGTGACGAGTTCAATGGGCCTTGGGAGCTTCCGTGTAGTTTGAGTAATTTTGCTGGGGAGGTTGAGATGGTGTGTGGGTTGTATTATATCCATTGTTATGACTAGATATTCATCCAGGATCTCATCTCCATTACGAGTACGTTTAGGCCTTGGTGAAGGCACCTACCTCTTGGAATGCAAGCAATTATCATCGCTAGATGAGATTTATATAGTTTAGTTAAAATACAAGGTATCTGGAAATCACAGCAATGGTGGGTAAAGTATGGATGGGTAGATATCACCAATCTATCGGTCCACTCGCGCAATTCGTCCATCAATCCCAACCTGCAGACCAAACCGCTGCCGCAAGAACGTCGCAGTCTCCGGTGACGGAACGTATCCCGCTGACGAGCGCTGCGTAGTCGCCGAATGCTTCCATTGATCTCGTATTGTGCCCAAAAAGCCCATATCCACAACCACGGCCTGTCCTGCGGAGAAGGTATCGAGCGGGTGGCCGTCGCGCGTATACACCGCGTCACTTTCGCCTGGTTCTGCGAGGAGCGTTGTTCGTTCATCGTTTACATCGTCGTCTATTTCCGTGACGGGCGGAGGGGTTGGTGTATTTGATTCCGATCCCGATTCCTCCGTCTCAGTATCGTCTGTTCCCCGCATCATGCCCCGCTCCTCCGCATCGTGGTCTTGGGCAGTAGGTTGGGCGGCATTGGAGTCTGGACTTGTAGTAGTGGTTTGTTCTGTGTTCGTTGTGGGTGTGTTGGTTGGCCCTGCCGTCTTCACTCGCTCGATTATCAGGGCCAGCATGATAAAATCGATGAGGAAGATTAGTATGTCGAAGGAGATGAGTCGTAGGGCTGGGACGGGGGTTTGGCCAATGAAGTCGATGAATAAACCGCCGTGGAGATAGCCGCGTGTTTCTTCACTGGCTTGGGGGTTGATTACGAGGGCGTGGAAGATCATGCAGAAGAGGTTGCTTGCGATTATTGCGCCGACGAAGGGTTGGTTGCGCGTTGGATCGAAGGGTGGGGCTTTTGGCGAGAAGAAGATAAGTTCGACTATGGCACGAAGCGCAAATAGGATTAAAGAGCAACTAAAGAGGGGGTGGGGATGTTAGTTTTGTTTTTGATTTGATTTTAGAGAGCAACTTTACCCCAGATCATAAGATGGGGTTAAGTGCGGAGTCAAAGGGGGAGGGGGGAACGAAGAGGTTGAAAACGCGAATGTGGCAGGCGGATCACTCACTCCATGTAGTATAAGGCGGATAATTGACAGTATATGAGAATATCGAGGTCTCGAAGGAGCCGGTCGATGAAGGCGACTTTCGCTGCGGACTGGAGCTTCTTCACGCGGCTCTTCTGGCCGCTGACTGGCAGTGGTCCCGGCGCCCCCGAGTCGTCACCCTCGAGGGAGATACCGGACACGTCAGCGATGTACTCCGCATCTCGAAAGGCATCGACGTCGGTCATAGAGGGTCATGGGAGCGTGGACACCCGGCAATGGTCCAGCTTGGTCGGGGATGGTGATAGTTAGCGATAAGCTGCGGGTGGAGTTGAGGAGGCGGAATGATGTCGGGCCGAACACGTGCTCTGGATCTATACATTCCGGGGGGGGGGCGCGCCGACTATCTAGAGTTTGGTCATGACTGTTCATAGCTATTTCAGGTACATTCCAATGTGCATTCATTCTATCGATTTCGATTTGTTTGAAATACATTATTCCTCCCTAGGTGTATATCATTTAATCCACTAGAATGTTCTTCGACAGCTCCGAGTAGTGCTCGAAGAATCCAGTGAAGAGGCGGATCGCGTGCGCGACATCGTAGGTACCTCCGGTCTCACGGCAACTGTGCATACTCAGTTGGGGGTTACCAAGATCCAGTGTGCGGGCCCCAAGAGCTGCAGACAGCATGGGGCCGATGGTACTACCGCAGCTAGAGTCGTTACGAACGACAAACAGCTGCAGAGGGATGTGCTCGCCAATCTTCTGGGCGTGTTTGCGAGCAATCTCTTGCAGCAGAACGATACCAGGAGAGTTGGTAGCATAGCGAGCGTTGGCGTTGATCTTAATGACGGGACCCTTGTTCATTTCGGGCTTGTGGTCGGCCTCGTACTTGGCGGCATAGTTGGGGTTGACCGAGTGGGCCATGTCAGCAGAGACAAGGAATGAGGTGGAAAGAGTCTGTTCGTAGGCGGTGGCAAGGTCTACATCTGATGATGATGAAGATGGGAGAACAGACAGACGGCGGATGATGGATGGAAGAATGTTAGAGTCCGCACCCTGCGCAGTACGGCTACCGATCTCCTCGTGGTCGAAGAGGGCGATCAGACGGATGGCGGATTCGTCGGCCAGCGCAGAGGAGTCGGCAACAGAATCAATCAAACTGACGGTGGCGCAGTATGTGCTGTTAAGGTTGTCCAAACGGGGTGAGAAGATGAACTCCTCGAGCAGACCACCGAGGCAGGACTTCTGGGTATCAAAAAGAATCATCTCAAAGTCCAGGATATCCTCAGCCTTGACACCAGCTTCCTCGGCGATCAAGTCGACGAAGTAGGGATGATGACGCTCAGTCATGGACTTCAGAGGGGTGTAGTCGTCCTCTTCGTTTTCATTTGACTTGCCATTGGGTGTGGATTCGGGGGTTCTGTTAAGCTCAGCGGCAACCAGGCCGGCGATGGGGAACAATTGAGTCTCCTTGTTGAAGGAGAAATTCTCCTGGCGGTCCAGGTGGATGGCCAAAGTTGGAATGCGCAGAACTAGAGGGTCAGTTTGGCATTCAAGAAGTAGCGACCAGTGCGATACTTACTGGGACGGTCAACCTTGACCAGCTTCTGCACGATCGAACCGTCCTTAGCACGGGTCATCACCCGGCCGGCCACGCCGAGGTCACGGTCAAACCCTAAGATATTCACATTAGCGATGGTCGAGAGGCCACAACTGGGTGTTGGGACTTACAGGTGTGCCAGATACCACCACCATAGCACTCAACACCGACCTGAACGAAGCCCTCGCCCCGCTTATTGCTGACGGGCTTGACCCGCAGGACGGGGGAGTCAGTGTGAGCACCGATCATGGAGATGGAGTTGCCGGGCTATTGTATGTCAGTCGGAGTATGTTCCAGGGGTCATTGAGGGTGAATACAAACCTTCCATTGCTGTCCAATTGCGAAAGCAACGAGAGTGGTGGTGTTGCGAGTAAGATAATACTTGCCTCCGGGCTGGCATGTCTTGGCCCAAGAGTCTTTTTCCTGTGGAGACCATGAGGATCAGCTTGAAGTTTAAGATTGCGGGGAGCCGGGGCTCCCCTGTGTAATGATGGAGTAGGTACCTTGATTTCCTGGAACCCGGCTTGGGCCAGAAGGTCCTTGGCGGATTTGACCGCGTGGAAGGCTAAATTTGGTCAGGTTTGCATGCCAGTGCTTCGGGGATTTGAGTCGATAGGAGTGCATACGTGTAGGGGATGCGTTGACAAAGTCCAGGAAATCCCTGGCGGGCTGCTTGGAGACCATGGTGGAGTAGACGCGCGATGTGCAGATTCTGCCTAGACTGGAGGAGGGTTTGAGGGGCATCGCAATTAAAGAGTGTCTTGAAGGTCTTCGGGCGGAGATGCTCTTGGGCGGTGACTCTCCGCATTACCAGCAACCCCAAGCAAGAGCCATATCGGTCTGACCCGCTTTGTGGGATGCTTGGCATTTTATGGCTTGCAACAATTCTTTTGTTCAACTTGAAATTTATTTAATATGATTGTCATACTCGGAGTTGCGCTGGGTCGCAATACTGTTTTTGGATAATGCTCGGCATTGCTCGCCTTGTCAGACAGACTCATCAATTAGAAAGACACACCAATAGCAATTCGTTTCTAATATTACTACTAGTAACTAGTTAGTACCCTTGGGACATATTGAAATATATAATGGATTCCACAAATTGTAAATGGATAACTTGAACGTCAACTCCAGGGCTTGAACTTGATTATGTCAAGCATGAGGCTGGCCTGGGGTCCACGGGTGTGATACTATATAGGTAGTACGAACTAGTACTACATTTACTACTACATAGTACTAGGCAATGTCCAGGTGGGAATTGACATTGACTCCCGAAGTCGTAGTTTCCAAGGTTCTTCAACTTAGTAAGTCCTCTTCACCCTGAGTCTATTCTTCCTTTCTCAAGCAACTTGAATGTAGACCTAAATACCCATTCAAGTTGCTGCTATTATTACTACTATTAGTAGTGTGGCGGTACTAGTGGGAGTCAATATAGTACCTCCTTGGATACAATGTTGAATCTAGTTCAACAATACTCTATACTAGTAGTCAACACACCTACTACCCTAGCAGGGTATTTTCAGTCATCCTGTAAATTTGACAGAATGGCGAGGTGCTAAGATAAGCACAAAGTGGAGATTTAGTGACAAGATCAATCTAATTCAACCAGAAGAATACTCCATAGAGGATCCGATCTCAAAGCGGGGGAGCTGGACTGGTGCAAATTCTCCGGGCTGAAATGATTGGCAGTGTGGTTGCTATGGCCCTGGCCCTGGCTGGCCCGAGCTCGGCACACTCCCACGCGACGCGCTGAGTCGCGTACTAGTACGGTCGCACTGGAGTCCCATGTCTGAACAGGGTTAAATGGCTCCCCCCCCCCCACCAGTTGTTCGCAGTGGCTTTGGTTGGACCTCGCATGAGCTGGTCGCGTCCCTGTGCATAAACACTGAGACAGAGTGATGGTGGCGCGGAATCATAACAAAGACGTGATTCAGTGTGACTGATGCTAGTGAAAGAAGACACAAAGATCACAGATACTAGTAAACCATCATGTCTAACACATGAAGGACTTTGTAACTAATGAGTAGAGTATCTATACTACAGTATGCTGTAACTATATAGTAAATGTGTAAGGTGTGGTGTGTTTCCACAGTGACTGCCCCTAGGGGCATCCCAATCAGGCATAGCGTAACCGACGCGTGACTTCAAGGGAACCCTTGGAAGGGAAGGGCCAGCCAGCTTGAGGTCGGAATAGCATCCCTTCAACACTGCCCTTTGTCTACCATTCCTTTGAATGCTATTCTCTTTGTTCCGTTAATTCACTGTGGTGTCCGCCCTCTTGGCTTGGACGGGTCCGGTCAAAGCAGTAGGTCACCACTGTCGAAGCGCCACAAACACATCTCTCTCTCTCTCTCTCTCTCTTACCGTCAACACATCACCTACCTGCCTTCAAATACCCCCGACATTCCCACGCAACTACCAATTTGCTTCTCCCATATCATCGTTTTCCTGATCTGTTCGCATGAAAATTCCGATACCATCCGTCAAACCAGCGCAATCTGCTTCTGGGCCTGAGCACCAGCAACCAACATGGGGGATCAACCTCAGGATACAGAGACGGGCGTAAAGAGTGGAATATCGACCAGGGCCAATACCCGATCGCAAGCCGCCAGTTTTGTTTCCCCGCCTGGATCGAAAACTCCGCCGAGTATGCCCACAAAGAGGACTATCATTTACCCCGATAACAATGTCAACCGATCAAAAGCGCCAGAGGGGTCGGAACCTATCGATGCCTCAGCGCTGGCCAAGGCGCTGAAGGATTATGACCAGGCCGGCCGCCAAAGAGAGAGAACCCCGGGTACTAGCCCTTGCCGAAAGCGGCAACGTGTGTATGGAGATCGGTATGTTATCAATGTTCGGGATGAAGGGTGCCTGCAGGCGCTCCCTGAATGACCTCGCTAGGTGGGCATCAACTCAAACTAACCCGCATTCAGTTTCATTCCAAATCGCGACGGCCAGGATTTGCAGGCGACGTACAACCTGCTCGGCGAGGATGGCTGTCCTACAACACCATCTAAATCCAAGCGACGGGCACCCCACTCGGAGCTTCATTTCCAAAAAAGTTCGTCCCTTCTCATGGCATTGGATAGAAAAATGGCTAACCAGCATTGTACAGCGGAGGAAGCGAATCGGACCTTCTCTCGTGTTTTGCGGAGTGAACTATTCGGAAACACTGTTCCCCAAGCGGACGTCACTTTGGGCTCGCCAGATCCATTAATGGGCTTTGCAAATGGCATCATTGACAAGACCCGGTCACATACACCTCCTTCGCACATTTCCAACCTTCCACCTGCCAGCATCACCCCATCTACCCCACACAAGAACCTCTTCAACTATGGTCCCACTCGACCAGGCTCGGGCCATCCGACTCCCTCAAAAACCCCTAGGAGCGCTCATGCCCCAAATCTGAATGCGCGGTCAGAACTATACAGTCTATCTCCCATTCGATATGATAGCCAAAGGATTCTTGAAACCCCGCGCAAGCAGCCCCGCTATGTCAACAAGGTGCCTTACAAGGTCCTTGATGCTCCTGATCTACAAGACGACTTCTACCTTAATTTGGTCGATTGGGGCAGCAGCAATGTTCTTGGCGTTGGCTTGGCCAATTCGGTCTATATGTGGAACTCCCAGTCAGGCCGCGTGACCAAGCTGTGCGAATTGAAGGATGACACAGTCACTAGTGTGAGCTGGATTCAGCGGGTGAGTCTGACACTACGAAAAGCAAGGACGAGCCTCGAAGCTAACAAATTACAGGGCACTCATCTTGCAATTGGTACTGGAAAAGGCCTGGTTCAAATTTGGGACGCAGAGCATTGCAGACGACTTCGAACAATGATCGGGCACACCAACCGTGTCGGTGCTTTGGCATGGAATGATCATATTCTCACCTCAGGATCTCGGGACCGACTCATTTATCACCGCGATGTTCGTTCCCCAGACCAGTATCTCCGCCGACTGTCTGGTCACAAGCAAGAAGTCTGCGGCTTGAAATGGAACACAGAAGATGGGCAATTAGCATCCGGTGGAAATGACAATAAGTTAATGGTGTGGGACAAGTTGAACGAAACTCCCCTCTATCGGTTCTCAGATCATTGCGCAGCCGTGAAAGCCATTGCATGGTCACCTCATCAACATCATTTGCTTGCTTCGGGTGGAGGTACTGCAGACCGCACCATCAAGTTCTGGAACACACAAACCGGCACCATGGTCAAGGAAGTCGACACTGGTAGCCAAGTCTGCAACCTATCCTGGTGCAAGAACTCAGACGAGATCATCAGCACCCACGGGTACAGTCAGAATCAAATTGTCATCTGGAAGTACCCGCGCATGGAGCAGATTGTCTCTTTGACTGGCCACACCTTCCGCGTGCTGTACCTGGCCATGAGTCCAGACGGTCAAACTGTCGTGACAGGAGCTGGCGATGAAACACTCCGGTTCTGGAAGATCTTCGACAAGCGAGCCACGCGTGACAATCGACGCTCTGGTAGCAAACTGGCGGAGTTCGGCACGATCCGGTAAATACGAACAAAGCAAGCTCATCAATTTACGACTTCTCACACCTGCATTCAACTCGGCGTTTCATAGTCTCTGGCATTGGTCTTGGCTAAGGAGGCTATTCTCATTGCATGGTTTATAATGGGATCTCTTCTCACTTTTCACGCATTGGTATCTACAGCATCATACTCAGGTTCGTCGGCTGCTATCATATTTCAAACGGCAAGCCTCTTACGAATCCTCCCCATTTGACTTCGATTTGGGTTCTATCAAGTTCATCCTCCTTTTTTTGTTCTTCTTTGCTTTTTGCTATATGCCTCTGGAGGCTTTGATCCGGCGCAACTATCAACTTCTTTCAACGGGTCCAAGCAGCGGCGCTCATGGTGTTTTTCAACGGGGTCGCCGGCATTCGGATATTCGGGGCGTTTCGTGTTAGCATGGATGGCTCATTTCCTTTCTTTTCATTTGCAATTGCTGGGCTTGTTCTGGGTTCTTCTGATGACGACGACATGATTTCTTTCCCCCTCTCTTTCTGCTTTCCAGTCTGGCGACATTGCGTTTTGCTTTTTTCTCCTGGGGTTGAACGTTTCTCCAGGTATCCATCCATCTAGTGTGGTCGCGCTGGGAAATAAACATGATTCTCGATAGAATCGCACTGATCATGAACCCTTCTTATTGAAATGTAGATTTTTTTGAAACATAAACTCGTACTAGTACTCTTAACTCTATTCCGACCTGAACTACTAGTAGCACCTACTCCGCCAATCTGTATCTTGAAGTTCCAAGGTTGCCCGGGGGAACAAAGCATGTTCAGTACTATCAACTGGCAAACCAAACCCATTTGCGTTATCCAGTCCACGGATCTTACTACCTTTACCAGCACAATGAATCTTGACATGCATATTTGCAAATTGCACAGTTGAATGTTAAACAAGCCAAGGCCGAATCAATTATCTATGCTACAGTAAATACAAAAAGCCTTAGACCCAAACCCTCAGGCCGGGCAATCAACCAGAAAAAGATGTCTCGCAAATTGGGGTGGGTGGAGAGATTGATGAAAAAAAAAAACAGAACATGAGATCCAAGCAGAAACTTGATTTTAAATGACCAACCTAGCAGGCTCAACCTGAAGGAGAGCCTTAATGCGCTCAAGGAAAGCCTTAGCACGAGTCTCCTCACCAGCGGGAACAGTCAGACTGAAAACGTTCGCGGCACCAGCAGCCTCATCTTCAAAGGCAGGCTCGGCGGCAGCAGAAGCGGCCTTCTTGCCAGGCTTGGCGCTGAGAATATCAATGAGATCCTCGACGACAGGCTCCGAGCGACGGGCCTCGTACGCCTCGAAGGCATTCAGCTCGGGGATATAATCACCGCGTGATGAGAGGATGGGTTCGGAGCCGAGAATCTCATCGAAGAGTTCGTCAGCGGAGGGCTTGAAGTTCTTCGCGCGGGGGAGGTCGTCGTTTGCCAGGTCGGTGGCGATGGCTAAGAAGCGGGACAGAGGGACCGTCACGCCCAGGCTGTCCTGGAGCTTGCGCTGGGCAGAGAGGACGGCGGCCAGGGAGATGGTGATGGCGACTGAGGCCATAGGTAGGGGCTTCGCGGCGACGACTTCTTCTTGCTTGGGCTCGGCGGCGACGGGCTTGGGGGCTGGAGCGGCGATCTTGATGTTGCTCAGGTCTAGGACTTGAAGCTTGGCGAGAGTCGCGGCTTGCGAGGCCGGGTAGTCGTTTGCGATCTGGCCTAGGTAGGCGAGGACATCACCCTTCAGCAGGCGGCCCTTGGGTCCGGAGGCGGGGATCTTGGAGGCGTCGGAGACGGGGATGCTCTTCTCGTGCAGGAGTTGGGCGACGGAGGGGTAGAGCGGGTAAGCGGGGTTCTGGGTCTGAGGGGCGGAGGAGGATTGGAGGCCTGGAGGAATGGTTAGTAATGGAGTTTTGGATAGAGCTGAAGGTGGAATTGGCTTGGAGTGGTGAATTGGTTGGGTTGGGGGGGGGGGGGGGCTCTGATATTGTCCGGAGGTGCTATCATCCGCGACCTTTCGAGCTTTCGAGCTTGTTTGTTGGGCGGGGGAAGGGAAACTCACGACGAGCAGTCTGTAGCACTCTAGGCTGACGGCGGGCGAACATGGCCGGCACCTGGCTGGCGGAGATTCGAGCGACCATTCTGTATGTGATATGTTGTTCCGTCGGGGGATGCGGATGCGGATATGAATGCTAGGGCGGAGATGTGCGTTATGGGGCTGTCGCAATGCTTTGAGGGAGCTGATTTTCCGGCAGAGACGGACAGAATCGACCAAATGCCCACCACCGCGTCAATCCGCGGTAGATTCAAGGTATAATAGTCTGAGGCTGGCGTGAATTGGAGGATGAGGTGTGAGGGAGTCTGATGGTTGAAGGCGTTGGGAGGGCGGCCGGTGAACGGGACGGGAACATTTTTCTGCCGCGGGCTCTTTTTCGATCTGGCGGTGCTTTCCGAGGAGAACAACCGCTGATTTGTTTTTGGCTTTGGGGTACGTCTTATTGTTTTCTTTCCTTGCCAATGGTATTCTAGTTGAGGTTTCCTGTTCTTGATTGAGCCGGTCTTTTCCGATTTACTGCAACGCCATGTCGGCATTATTCGCGCACTTGCTAACCCTGCCGTGGATACAGATCGCGCGATAATCATGTCCGCAAGAGCACCCACCTTTCGTGTATTCTGGCACCGGTGCGCCGGAGCTCCGTTAAGACCTTCCTTCCAGACAGTCCATGCGATCTCATGGCGTTCATTCGCATCCAAGGCCCCTCAAGCTACGAAGCCCACATCGCAAGCTGCCGGACAAGCGCACCGCGTTCGGAATACAATCCAAGCTTCACCGATCAAAGCTGGAAACATTGGACAGTTGGCATTGAAAGTAGCAAGACAGGGTGATGTGGTGCTTTTCAATGCGCGTTCGCAGCGCAGCTACGTCCTGAGTGCCTATGGCCTATCCGCATTTTGCTTCGCTTACGCGGTCTATAACTCCAATGCTGTCTTCCGGGATCCCTTGACAGTTCTTCCTATGTGGCAACAGGCTTTGTTTGGAGGTATCTGTGTCACGATGAGTGTCATGGGTACCTTGTTCTTTACCCGGACCAGCCATATGATCCGCAAAATCACGGCTATTAAGTCCCAAGGCCATACCTACATCCGATTTGAGGTTCGCCGTCTGATGCCATTCACCAAGCCCTATCAGATCGAGGTACTGCCTTCCCAAGTCTCCATCTCTAAGCGTCTGGTAGTCTCAGAGCAAGCCGCGAAGCGATTCGAAGGCGAGAGCAAGAAACTCGGATCAGAGGATGGAGCACCTAGCTTTTTCAAGGCTCCTGTCCAAAGGTTGAGTCGGAGTCTGTGGAGAATATTCCTTTCTGTTCGCCAGGTCTTTACGAGTGAAGACTTCATCTTGATGCAAATTGAGGGTCGGAAAGCCACTTTTCGACTGGACTCCAATGGCTACGTTTCGAGCGATTTGTACGCTCTTGGTAACCCCGTCCGGTTTACTGGCAAAAAATAAGCTTCGTCAGCTTCTATTTGATGTCATATAAGGCATATATTCATAGTTTCTGGCCTACGTTTAGAGTCAGCCCTGCGGCTTGTTCAGAGGGTTGAAAACAACCTCGATATGACCGCAGCATCTGTACATATAGAACCTGTAACACCAATTTATCCCATTCAAACAGCGGTATTCGGACTTTCAATAGTAGTAAGACCTCGCTAGTTTAACCGGCAAACTGATAGCATTTAGTATCCTCATAGCTATACTTCCGTTGGTCTAGTCGTTGCGTCGCCACGTGATTTGATTGGGCCCCGGCGCGCGTCGCGCGGTTTCCCCATATCGCGCCCCTCCCACCTCCGAGCGCAATCTTTCACCCACTCACCACTCAATCCCCACCGTCTGCTTGCCTTTGTTCGTCTTGCTTCCTCAGGGAGCTGTTACGACGCAATATGGGGAAACTCATTCGTTTGGAGCTTTTCAGTACGTTCTTTGACCACCGAACCACCCCCGTTATATTGCTAACTTTTGCGCGCAGACTTCAAGTCTTACAAAGGACACCATACTTTACTCTTCGGAGATGCATACTTCACCTCGATCATCGGACCCAATGGATCTGGAAAGTCCAATTCGTATGTGATACACGCCCTCTAGGCTTCACCGTGGCCTACGCTGACAACAATAGAATGGATGCCATTTCGTTCGTCCTAGGTATCAAGTCCTCTCATCTGCGATCCACGAACCTAAAAGATCTCGTCTATCGTGGCCGTGTTCTGCGCACGTCCAAGGTCGACATTAACGGAGAACCTATCGTCAATGGCGAAAATGCTGAGCAAGAGGAGGAAGAGGATGTAGATGCATCCCAGGATGCCGCTGGTGCAAACGATCCCAGGACAGCCTGGGTTATGGCCGTCTATGAGGATGACGCGGGCGAGGAACAGCAATGGCGTCGATCCATTACCAGCCAGGGTGCCAGCGAGTACCGCATCAACAACCGAATCGTCACTGCTCAGCAATATAACGAGGCCCTGGAGGAGGAAAATATCTTGATTCGCGCACGCAACTTCCTGGTTTTCCAAGGTGATGTTGAGGCAATCGCGTCCCAGTCTCCGAGGGACCTCACCCGGTTGATCGAGCAGATCTCTGGCAGCTTGGAATACAAAGGCGACTACGAGAAGCTCAAAGCGGAGGCTGAGGAGGCCGCTGAACAACAGACCGTTCAACTCAACCGTCGACGAGGGATCAACTCCGAAGTTAAGCAGTATCAGGAGCAGAAGCGCGAAGCAGAGAACTACGCCAAAAAGGCCGAGGAACGCGACCAAGCCATCATCACCCACATCCTGTGGAAGCTTTTCCACTTCCAACGGTTAATCGATGACTCTAGCGCCGACATTCAGAAATATCAGGACGAGCTCAAGGAATACCGCCGAGGAGTCGAGAAATACGAGAATAATGTCGAAGACGCCAAGAAGGAACACACTCGAGTTGGCAGGGACGTTGGAAAGGCCGACAAGAATATCCACAAGAAGGAGAACGACATCGAAGAACTCAACAACTCTCTGGTTCCTATCGACGAGAAGGTGGACATCACGCAGAGAAAGGTGGAACGGTATTCATCAAAGATCGACGAGATCGGCAAGGAGCGCACGAGCCAGGCGAACAATGCAAAGCAACTCGAGAAGGACCTGAAGCTGGTAGAGAAGGCCCAGGGCCAGTGGGAAGCTGAATGGCAAAAGACTACGAACAAACGGGGCGGACAGCTGAGTGAAGGCGACCAGCAGGAGTACAACAAACTCCGCGAAGAGGTCAGCAAGCGCTCATCTGCCGATCAACTTAATCTCGACAACCTACGTCGCCAAAGGAAGACCGAAGCCGAAGCCGTCAACAGCCTGAAGGGCAAATTTGAGACCACCGAGTGGCAGTTTAAGACTCTGGAATCCGACTCGCAAAACATGACCGAGCGCCAGTCTACGCTCAAGGACACGATCAAGTCTACATCCAAAGATATTGATCGCAAGAAGAAGGACCTCAACGGTTTGACATCGGAACGCTTGAAGGTCTCGCAAGTGCGAACCGAACTCGAGGAGAAGCTGCAGGTGGTACTCAAGAAGCTCATGGAAGCCGACGATGGAAAGAAGCAGAATGAGCGTGAGATCCGGGCCAAGGAACTCATCTCGACCCTTAAGCGCATCTTTCCCGGGGTGAAGGGTCGTGTCAGCGACCTCTGCCGGCCAAAGCAGCGGAAGTACGCCGAAGCCGTCAGCACTGTTCTTGGTCGCCACTTTGATGCTGTCGTCGTTGACAACGAAAAGACCGCCAAGGAGTGTATCCAGCATCTTCGTGACCAGCGAGCTGGCCAAGCCACCTTTATTCCCCTTGAAACCATCCAGGTCAAAGCCTTCAACTCGAGTTTGAAGGGCCTTCATCGGAATATGCGCCCTGCCATCGAGACTGTGGACTACGACGACTCGGTTTCTCGAGCTATTGTGTACGCTTGTGGAAATTCAATTGTCTGCGATGACCTTGCTACCGCCAAGTATCTGTGCTATGAGCGAAATGTCGATGCCAAGGCAGTTACTCTGGATGGTACTGTTATCCACAAAGGTGGTTTGATGACTGGTGGTCGTGGCCCTCAACAGAATGCTTCCAAGCGTTGGGAGGATTCGGAGGTGGAGAATCTTCATAAGCTGAAGGACAAGCTTCTGGGCGACCTTAACAGTCTACCGAAAAGCCATCGCCGGGGCTCGGAGGAGGAGACGCTACAAGGAGAGCTTGTTGGCCTTGAGCAACGCCTCAACTATGCCCGCGACGAACTGAAGGCTCTTGAACGGAACATTAAGAGCAAACACAGCGAGTTAGAATTTGTCAAGCAACAAATGGAAGACCTGCGACCTAAGTACACGGAACGCAAGGAGAATCTGGATGAACTGGACGAGACTATCGAAAATTCGCAAGAGTCCGTCAGTAACGTCGAAGACGAGATCTACCGCAAATTCTGCAAGCGCCTAGGTTACGACAACATCCGTGAATATGAAGCCCAACAGGGCTCCTTGCAAGAGGAAGCCGCACAAAAGAAGCTTGAATTTACGACACAAAAGAGTCGTATTGAGAATCAGTTGAGCTTCGAAAAGCAGCGCATCCAAGCGACCGAGGATCGAATCAATGGTCTCAAATCTCAGTATGACCGCGATATGAGCCTGATTGAAGAGCTTAAGGAGCAACAAGAGGAGATCCGGAATAAGCTGGATGAGTTCAGTGCTGAACTTGAACTCCTGCGCGAAAACCTCGAGAAACAAAAGGAGATCTACGCACAGTCGGCTGAGAACTTGGCTGAACAGCGACGAGAACTCCAGAAGCGCAGCAAGCATGTCGAAGGAGCACTCAAGAATATCAATGCCCTGGAGGCTGAGATCCAACGGAATTCTTCTAGTCGCTATGCCCTTCTCCGTCGTTGCAAGCTTGAAGATATTGATATTCCTCTGGAAAAGTCTTCCAATGGCCTCGAAAAACTTCCCATTGATGATCTTGTGCAGGCCGCAGATCCGGACGCCATGGATGTAGATGAGGCTGATGGCCTTGATGAAGCTCCTGTGGTACAAGACTATGGAATCGAGGTTGACTTTGACTCTCTTGGGGAGACCCTTAAAGAGGTATGTATTCATCGCAATCTGCCTACACGCCGTATGCTAATTATCGTAATAGGAGTCCGATGATAAGCTCGAGGATGAGCTCCTTGAAAAGGTTCGCAGCCTTACCAACGAACTCGACAAGATGGCACCCAATACCCGCGCTATGGAACGCCTGGAGACCGTGGAGAACAAGCTTCGAGGCACCGAGAAGGACTTTGAGGATGCTCGAAAGTATGCCCGAAAGGCGAAGGACGACTTTGAAAATGTGATGAAGAAGCGTTCCGACCTCTTCAACAAGGCCTTTACACATATTTCCGAGCAGATTGGCCCGATTTATCGCGAGCTAACTCGCAGTACCAATTATCCTCTCGGTGGACAAGCGTAAGTCTTCCGGCCCGATACTATGTACCTACCTGCTGACACCCCCTGAAGTTATCTTGATATCGAGGACTCGGACGAGCCATACCTTGACGGTATCAAGTACCACGCCATGCCGCCTCTGAAGCGTTTCCGTGATATGGAACATTTGTCAGGTGGTGAGAAGACCATGGCGGCACTTGCGTTGCTCTTTGCCATCCACTCCTACCAGCCTTCGCCCTTCTTTGTGCTGGATGAGGTGGATGCTGCTCTCGATAACACCAATGTTGCCCGCATTGCGAACTATATCCATGATCACGCAGGTCCTGGCATGCAGTTCATCGTCATCAGTCTGAAGACCGGCCTCTTCCAGAACAGTGAGGCTTTGGTTGGTATTTACCGGGATCAGGTGCAGAACAGCAGCAAGTCTTTGACCCTTGATGTGAGTTATCGAGCACTTCACTTTTAACTCTGAGAATGTTGTTGACTGACTTGTCCTTTAGCTCCGCAAATATGCCTGATGTCTCAGCATGACATTGCGATGTATTTCACGAACAATATTTTCCTTCTTCGTTTGTGTAGATTATTCAGTCTAGCCGGTTTGCTTGATTATTATTCCTATTGCTTGCAGAATTGATGCAAAGTACTGTCTGTACTTGGTAACCCCTATGCTCTTCCCATATTTACTCGCATTGCTGTTAATTGATACCAGTTCCTGCATGGAATACAGTGTTTATTCTTTATCGTACGAGCTTTGCATAACTTAGGTTTAGACTGTAGGCTACTTGGTGAGAATATCATTGGACAGCAGTCATGTTGATTGCGTTCTCAATAGCCGACTGACGAAAATAATGGAATGATCGTCTCTCCGCAACCCCAGATGTAACCCCCGCATCGTCATTCCGAGGTGGACAAACACTAATTCATTTATCCGATGAAATCCCGTCCAATAAATGAAATCGCCATCGGCACGCTCCACTTGGCTTGTTCATGTTGTTACAGACGGCTTTTGAATAAATGTCGCAATCGACGCTC